TTACACAACGGTACTATGGGAGAAGTCCCTGGGTGGTGCAGTGGTTACATGCTGGACTGCCAACCCAAAGGTTGGCGTTTCAAACCCACCCAGAGACACCTTGGAAGAAAAGCCCAGTAATATGCTTCTAAAAGGTTACAACCTTGAAAACACTGTGGGGCACTGCTGCTCTGTCAAGTAGGGCTGCTACGAGTTGGAATCAACTTGACAGCAACCAACAAGAACAACTACTATGTCAGCTGAAAAAATGTGGGGGTTCAGTACTCTGCCCCACAATATCTGCTCCTGGCCTGCCCCACCAACCTATATCTCCTCTTAGACCTCCCCAGTCCTCACCCCCAGCTGTCTCTCATTGAAGCCTGAGCATTTTGTGCATTCTCCCGTCCCCTCTCCCCCTGCCACAAGTGCTTCCTTCATGGAGGAGGCACTCAAGGTGTCCTGAGCAGGACTGAGCCCCAGCCAACACTCTGGGTAGCCCTGAGCATGTGAATTATTTGGGGGGCCTAGGCTTCTACCCATGTGACATGTGGGGGATGATTTCCTCCAGCTGCACAGTGTGTTAGCTAGACGCATCCTCACTTACACCACAGGCGAACACGAGGGTCTCCTCTCTGCCCCATCTTCACTCACACCACAGATGGTCTCTTCTCTGCCCTGTCATCACTCACATCACAGATGAACATGAGGGTCTCCTCTCTGCCCCATCTTCACTCGTACCACAGATGGTCTCCTCTGGTCTGTCATCACTCACATCACAGATGAACACGAGGGTCTCCTCTCTGCCCCATCTTCACTCACACCACAGATGGTCTCTTCTCTGCCCTGTCATCACTCACAACACAGATGAACATGAGAGTCTCTTGTCTGCTTGTCATCATTCACACCACAGATGAACATGAGGGTCTCCTTTCTTCTCCATCTTCATTCACACCACAGATGGTCTCCTCTCTGCCCCATCCTCACTCACACAAAAGATGAAGATGAGGGTCTCCTCTTTTCCCCATCTTTACTCGTACCACAGATGGTCTCCTGTGGTCTGTCATCACTCACAACACAGGTGAACACAAGGGTCTCCTCTCTGCCCTGTCTTCACTCACACCACAGATGGTCTCTTCTCTGCCCATCATTACTCACATCACAGATGAACACGAGGGTCTCCTCTCTGCCCCATCTTCACTCGTACCACAGATGGTCTCTTCTCTGCCCATCATCACTCACACCACAGATGAACATGAGAGTCTCTTGTCTGCTTGTCATCATTCACACCACAGATGAACATGAGGGTCTCTTCTCTGCCTCATCATCACTCACACCCACAGATGGTCTCTTCTCTGCCCATCATCACTCACATCACAGATGAACATGAGGGTCTCCTCTCTGCCCCATCTTCACTCGTACCACAGATGGTCTCTTTTCTGCCCATCATCACTCACACCACAGATGAACATGAGGGTCTCCTTTCTTCTCCATCTTCATTCACACCACAGATGGTCTCCTCTCTGCCCCACCCTCACTCACACAAAAGATGAAGATGAGGGTCTCCTCTCTGCCTCATCATCACTCACACCACAGATGGTCTCTTCTCTGCCTCATCATCATTCACACCCACAGATGGTCTCTTCTCTGCCCATCATCACTCACAACTTAAATGAACATGAACGTTTCCTCTCTGCCCAGTCATCACTCGCACCACAGATGATCACAAAGGCCTCATCTCTGCCCCGTCATCATTCACATCACAGATGAACACAAGGTCTTCTCTTTGCTGTTCCAGAGTGGGCACTAGTGCACCCCCACAGGCCCAGGAGGCACCTGGTCACCTTCTTTCCCCACTGTGAGTTCATCCTTCATCTGCAGTCAGGGCCACACGTTCCCCAGAAGTGTTCAGCACTTGGGCCTCTTGCGGATACATGGAGGGAGGCAGGCAACACTCGTGGGCCAGTTGGAGACTTGGTCCATGTCTGGAGTTGCTCTGCCCCCAGGAGACATATTCTGCATCACCCTAATCTAGCTACACAAGTCTTTGCATGTCTGAAGTGAGGACCCAGGGACTTCAGGCACCATGGTACTCAGAGCTAGCAGGGACCTGTTTTCTCTTGCCTTCCTGCCTGGCTGACTCCTGTGATACCATTAGGAGTCCTTGGGTAGCATAAATGGTTCCACACTCACCTACGAACTGAAAGGTTGGTGGTGGGAACCCACCTAGAGGTGCCTCACAAGAAAAGCCTGGCAATCTTCTTCCAAAAGGTCATGGCCTTGAAAACCCTTTGAAGCACAGTTCTCCCCCGCACACATGGCATTGCTGTGAGTTGGAGTGGACTCAACAGCAACAGGTCAGATCCAGTTTTGGTCCACCATTCTCAGCTCACACCTCCAGATTTTTTCACACTGAATATTTAGCCAGTCAGCCCACGTTGTATTTCTATGTTTGATATTTGGAATATCTCAGTTCTCTAGTGCTGCTGTAACAGAAATACCACAGGTGGGTGGCTTTAAAAACAGAAGTTTGTTCTCTCACAGTTGTTGTTGTGTTGTTATGTGCCATCGAGTAGGATCTGACTCATAGCGACACCTCCTTGGGTTTCCGAGGCAGTATCATTACGGAAGTAGATTGCCCAACCTTCCTTCCGAGAAGTGGCTGGTGGATTTGAACCACCAGCCTTCTGGTTAGCAGTCAAGTGCCTTAGGCACTATGCTACCGGAGCTCCTCTCTCACAGTTAGGAGGCTAGAAGTCTGAATTCAGAGTTCTGGCTCCATGGGAAGGCTTTCTCTCTCTGTCAGCTCTGGGGGAAAGTCCTTGTCACCTTTCAATGTGTGAGCCTGATATTCCCTGGAGATTTCCACGTGTCTGGGCATCTGTCTTTCCCTGCATCTAGAAGGTTCTCAGCCCAAGGACCCCAAGTCCAATGGATACACTCCATTCCCAGCTCTTCTTTGTTGTTGGTACTGAGGTCCCTCTGATCTCTGCTCACTTGTTTAATCCCTTTTATATCTCAAGAGAGATTAACTCAAGATACAACCTAATCCTGTAGATTGTATCCTGCCTCGTTAACGTCACAGAGGTTAGGATTCACTGCACAGAGGACATTTATATCAGATCACAAGATGGGGGATGATAATTACATAATACTGAGAATCATGGCCCAGCCAAGCTGACTCATGTTTTGGGAACACGCTTCAATCCATGGTGTGGAGCACTGTAGTTTGTGCTGAGTTTCCTTGAGGAAGCTTGCTCCCTAGCACGTGTGTCTGTTGGATCTCCTCCCCCATTCACCAAGAACTCTCTGGAATCCTGCTGCCATGTTCCAATGAGCTGGCCACCCACCAAATTGGTTTCATCTGCAAACTGGGTGAGCATATTTCCCCTCTGTCACTCGCGTCATTTGTGAAACGCTGAATGCACAGGGCCCTGGGCTGGTCCCAGCCACCCGAGGTGTCTGGCCTGAGTGCTCTCTCGTCACTCACAGTCAGCCCTGCAGGTGTTTCAGGGTCCCCGGAACCACATGGTTGCCAGTGCCAGGCCCACAGTGGACCTGCACCAGGGCCAGGGAAGGCTGGGGTGGGGACGTCTTGGGGCTTTCCATCTGGTGTGAAGTTACAGAAACCCCTGTTCTATTCTATGTGCTGGGGCAGGCCCATGTGGCCTCAGCTGTAGTGAGTGGGGGTCTTATTGAGGAGGGGCAGAGCAGAGCAGGCAGCCAGGTTAGGCACTCAGGTTCCAGGGACAAGAAGTCCCAGGGTCAGGTGGGAGACCTGCTTGGTGCCAGGCTAGGGTGGTCACCAGTAGGTCTGGGGCCTTATGGAAATACCCTGTGCAGGCCACCTGGGCAAAAAAGTCACTGATGGGGAGCACATGCAGCAAGAGGCAGTCCTGAGGCCTGGTACAGTCTTGATGAGAGGACCACACTGGGGCCCTTCCCATGACGTCTCTGTCAGAAGGGATGGTTCTTCACCAGCTCTGCATTGGGCTGGTTCTTTTAAATAGTAAAGGGACTGTGCTTGGCAAGGTCCCTTCCGGAGCAACAGCTGGGGCCTTCTCTGAATAAGGCCCTTGTTGGAGTTTCCCAGTGCTGCTATAACAGGGATGCTATAAGAGGGTGACTTTCACAAACATGCTTGTTTTCTCACAGTTGAGGAGGCTACAATTACAAATTTGGGGCACCACTCTGTCGGTTCTGGGAAGAGCCTCATCTCTTTTGAGTTCCTGTGCCAGGCTCCGTGGTGATCTTCACATGGCACCTGTCTTCCCCCATCTGTCTCTGCTTGTTCCTGTGTCTGTGCTGTTCCTTGTAACTCAGCAGGACACACCACACACTGATAGGGCTCCATCAGCAGGACAGAGAAAACCCTGTTTCCAAGCAGAATGTCCACGGTGCAGGGGTCAGGAGTTCAACGCCCATCTCAGGGGGACATAGTTCAGTCCAGTACAGCCCTTCCTTATGCTGTGGGCCAGCCGTGATGTCTTTGTGGTGTGTGTTCGGGGCAGAAAGGGCCAGGGTCTGGGCTGAGGAGTGACGGAGTTGCCCTGGTCAGTGTGTGGTGGAGGTGGCCCAGGACCCTGAGATAAGACATCAGCTGTAGCCATGGACGTCAGTCCTCACTGTGAGTGCCAAGCCCTTTTCCCCTGGGCTACTCCTTGAGCCCTCATCCATCCAGTGAGAGAAAGGACAGGCAGTAGGAAAGGTCCTCTCCACCACCCCACCCTCAGGTGTTTGTCCAGCTCTCCTGGGGTTCTTCTGGGTACAGGGCTGGGCAACATCCCATTGTGTTATACATAAGGTAACTATGAGTCAGATCTGACTCAATAGCACCTACCAACAACCTGGGACCCACTTTCCAATGGCTGAGAGTTTGGCTAAAACCCACCTAGACACAATGGAGGGTGCAAGAAGTCTCTATCATGCATGGGGGATACTCTGTGAGTGCCCAGCCCACCACAGTGACCATAGCCCCAGGCCCTGAGGCTCAGCAGCCAACCTCAGCATCTTCATGTTCCCAGGTGGGGGCCATTGGCGACGAGGAGGAGTGGGTCAGCCTGTATGAGGAGGAGAAGGAGTCTGACGCCCAGATGCTGGAGATCCCAAACCTCACACCCTACACTCACTACAGGTGAGAGCAGCCAATGCCACCTCAAATAGCTGGCTTCAGTCTGCAGTAACAAGTCCAGCCATGTGCGTGGAAATGCAACATTTCCAAGGAACAGTCATGGTAAATCACCCCTTGTAGAGCAGGGAAGACACACACTTGACTGTAATTTCCAGGGAGCACATACCCTGATGTCAGATCAGGAACACTCTTTCCATCACCACTAGCTAACAAAACACCTATAGAAATGGCTCACCATTAAATCGAGCTTAACAACCAGGAACCTCAGGCAGCTGGAGAGACAGTGCTTTGCGACAAAGCTGCATGACTGCTGTGGCCACGACATGCCCTTTGCAAACAGAGGAGGGCCTGCAGTTCCCTCTCTGCTGCCTCTAGCAGGGCCCGGAGTGGCTAGCCACACTGATCATTGATCATCAGTAATCAAAACCTGAACATGCCGTCCAACCTTTCACTTCTTGGTCCTGAGACTCATCCAGCAGTCAATCCCTGGCCTTCGCAAAGGGTAGCGTGACCAGCAGCTGTTAGACATGTTACGTCTTCCCTTAAGACCATTGACAGACATGAAATTTCCAGGCACCACCAGATGTGGAGCTGGCCACCTCACTGCTTACCAGCTTGATGCCTTTTATAAGGTTGGGTGAGAGAGGGATTCGGAATTACTATTCAGGGGAGTTGGTATCTTTCTCAGCATGATGCCAAGGTTAGAGAAAGAAAAAACAGACAAGAGGTGCTGCATGTCTGCTGTTCATTGTAACATCCCTCCGGAGAAGATCAGAGCCTCTTCTGGTTCCCTCGTGCCACTCTGACGGGAATAGACCGTGAATGGGATGGCTTTAATAGGCAAGAGTTTATTTTTTTACAGTTTGGAGGCTTTATGTCTGAGTTCAAAGTGCCAGGCTCTAGGGGCTGGGTGAAAGCCCCTCAACCTTGGGCTTCAGCTCTGCCTCTTGCTCCTGGCCCACTGAAGCTGGAGGCTTTTCTTCACTCAGACAGCTGCTGGCTGCTGAGGCTGACAAGCCCAAGGTTGACAAGGAAAAAGGCACAGTCCCAATGTTACCAAACCACACGGCAGGCCACTAATTCAAGTCCAGATGAAGTCCCAAGATCGGCAGGGCATGGCAGGCTGTTGAACCACTTGGCTACATGCAGGGTTCAAGTGTGCCATAAGCTAGAGACCATTCCCAAAGCTGCTTCTTATATACAGGAAGCAGACCACATCCCTAAGGCGCTACGCCGTCATGGAGTTGATACCCAGGCTCATCACGGGGAATAACTACCACCAGGTGCCCAGCCTCTCAACCTGAACTCCCACGGCTCAAGATAGGATAGAAAAAACCTTCCGTATAGAATGAACTGCCAGCCTTCAAGACTGACCAGTGACATTAACTAACACCCTACAGTTATTTTAATTCAGTTCACTGTCAGAAGCTCTTAAAGACTAGCCCCCATGTTAAATTCATGCAGACTTAGGGGCTGTCTGGGACAGAGCCGTGCATGTGCTTGCGGTCCTGTTCTTGTAAATAAATTCAACTCGAACAATTGCACCCAAATACAGAAGAGACGGAACTGAACGCTTACAGGAAACCTTAAGGAACATCCAGCCCTGCCCTCACTTCATTGATAAGGAGTCAGACGTGCATGCCTGGCTGCCTCAGAGGTGGGGGAGAGGAGTCCCTTGGTCCTTAAGGAGCAGCTTGAATTGAAGAGATGTCCTTTGGTCGGACAGCCTGCTGCTTCGCTGTCACCCAACAGCTCCCTCAGGTTTCTGCCTGAGCTCCTGAAGCTTTCGGCTTCACTTGGGGATCTCAAAGTGTTCAGTTACAAAGGATTTACCACTCCCTGAAGGTTTGGGGGGAAAAGGACCAGGGACGTAATTTGCATGGAAAGGACGCACCCTTGAGCGGTGGCCTAAGGAGGGGGCTTGACGCAGCCCTGAGCCCTCCGCTCAGAAGTGGCCTTGCTGCATTTTGCCTTGTTTCACCAGCCCCGTTAGCCTTCGCTCAGAGTAAGCTTCTCCCTCTTTTTGCTCCAGATTTCGGATGAGGCAAGTGAACGTTGTGGGCTCCAGCCCTTTCAGCCCGTGTTCCAGGGTCATCCAGACCCTGCAGGCCCCACCCGACGTGGCTCCCAGCAGCGTCACCGTGCGCACCGCGAGCGAGACCAGCCTGTGGCTGCGCTGGGTGGTGAGTGGTGCAGCCAGGAGGGGGACAGCGGGGACAGACAGTGAATCTGGGCTCGCGGTTCCTCGGGCACAGTTCTGTCCAAGTGCATGGTAATCCCATCATTAAACCAAAACGTATTACATTTTACAGTTAGTGTGAGAGCTTAGCCCAGCCTAGGCGATCTTATTAATTAGTTGCATTACAGACTCTTTTCTTGGAACAGAGGACCCTCTTTGGGGAGGAAGGTCAATGATGCTACAGGCCAGACCCGCAAGTCCTTAAGCTGCGTCAACATGGAGCCCGTGCTTGGGATGTGGAAGGGAGCCAGCCTTATATTTAATTAACATGCTTCCCACAAGTGTGAGCCAAGATGTATTCAGAGAAGCTATACCCATCCCAAGTTACTGATGGGGTTTTGTTTAATTAACAGAAGGAAAGTTCCAGGGAAAAGCAGGGTGGAAGTTCAAAAATGTCCCCAGGAAAACAGCCCCATGGCTTTGGCTTCCGGAGATAGGCCACCCCTGGAGGGCTGCCAGATGGTCATCACAGATGTCAGCTCACCGTGGCCCGTTGTTCCTTCCAGCCCCTGCCCGACTCCCAGTACAACGGGAACCCCGAGTCGGTGGGCTACAGGGTCAGGTACTGGCGCTCAGACCAACAGGCTCCGGTGCTGGCCCAGGTCATCACCGACCGGCTGGAGAGGGAGTTCACCGTTGAGGAGCTGGAGGAGTGGACGGAGTACGAGCTGCAGATGCAGGCCTTCAACGCCATCGGGGCCGGGCCCTGGAGCGAGCTGGTGCGGGGCCGCACGCGGGAGTCAGGTGAGGGGCCTTCGGATCCAAGACCCCAGCCCCTCGGGCCTCTCTGGAGATCTGCGTTTCCCTAGCTCTCCACACCCCGAGGTCAGGGGCTCCCATCAGCTCAGCCCTCCTGTGTCTTGTTAGCTGCTGCCAAGCTGTCCCCGATGCAGGCGACCCCACACACCACAGAACAAAGCCCTGCCCAGCCCTCCCCCCGCAGTCAGTGGCGGACCGGACCACTGTGCCCCACCGGGTCTGCATGGGCCGGCTTTAGGAAGCACATTACAGGCCTTTCTTTCTGGTGGGTCTGAGTCTGGAACCACCAGTGGAACCTGTTCGGCGTCCCAGCGACACTGACAGACGGACAGTGGCGGGGCATGAGATGCGCAGCCAGGAGCTACTCCAGGTCTCCTGCGTAGAAGGTGGTCATCCACCCTGAGCCACCGCTGCTCCCGGGCTGGCACTCTGCTGGCTAGGGCGGACCAGACAGAGACTCTGACGAATCTCACTGGGACCCCAGGCCCGATGTGGAAACAGCGACGTTTGTAACAGCAGCGACACTCAGTCACTATTGTCGGGGTCTAACCAGGCACCATTTTCACTATCAGTGATGAGAAGAGGGACGGAGTAGACATTCTAAGGGGAGGTTCCTCTTCACAGGTCAGCATGTGTGAGACGTGAGGGTCACAGATTAGCATGTGTGACACATTAGGGTCACAGGTCAGTGTGTGTGAGACGTTAGGGTCACAGGTCAGCATGTGTGACACGTTAGGGTCACAGGTCAGTGTGTGTGAGACGTTAGGGTCACAGGTCAGCATGTGTGAGGTGTTAGGGTCAGAACTGTAGTGACACAGAGCCCCAAAGTCCAACTGCTAAACCACGGAAAGCTCATGTCTCCCTCCATCAGAGTCTGAGTTTCAGTGAATGGCTCTCTTCCATGAGGTGCTTCAGGGACCCAAGACCTGTTAGACTGGGGGACTAATCACCTTCCACATCCAGCTCCCTGAAGGGAAAAGAAGGAACAGGGGTGCACCTGTCTCGTGGGCCCTGTGTGGAGACAGTTCCCCTGTCTCATAGGCCCTGTGTGGAGACGGTTCCCCTGTCTCTCAGGCCCTGTGTGGAGTGGTTCCCCTGTCTCTGAGACCCTGTGTGGAGACAGTTCCCCCGTCTCTGAGGCCCTGTGTGTAAATGGTTCCCCCATTTCTGAGGCCCTGTGTGGAGTGGTTCCCCCATCTCTGAGGCCCTGTGTGGAGATGGTTCCCCTGTCTCGTAAGCCCTGTGTGGAGTGGTTCCCCCATCTCCAAGGCCCTGTGTGGAGTGGTTCCCCCATTTCTGAGGCCCTGTGTGGAGTGGTTCCCCTGTCTCCGAGGCCCTGTGTGGAGATGGTTCCCCTGTCTCTGAGGCCCTGTGTGGAGTGGTTCCCTCATCTCTGAGGCCCTGTGTGGAGACAGTTCCCCTGTCTCTCAGGCCCTGTGTGAAGACGGTTCTCCCGTCTTGTAGGCCCTGTGTGGAGTGGTTCCCCCATCTCCGAGGCCCTGTGTGGAGACAGTTCCCCTGTC